TATGTTATTGTTCAGTCTATCAGTCATGTCCGACTCTCTGGGACCCCATGGACCAACTATCCATGGGGTTTTCTTGGCAAAGATACTGGAGTGGTTTACCATTTCCTTCTTCAGTGGACCCTTTTGTCAGGTGATCAGAGGTTAAGTGACTTGCTCAGGGTCATATAGCTAGGAAGTGTCTGAGGCTGGATTTAAACTCAGGTCCTCCTGACTCTAGGGCTAGTGCTCCATCCACTGAGCCACCTAGCTGCTCCTGCTATAGAGTTTTAAAATTAAATACTATAGCAACAAAATTGCTCCACTCATCTATTTCCCTTTCTATACTTCCTTCTGCTCTCCTCAAGATGTTGAAAATTGAACATAGCATCTTCTCTCCCAAATCTTTCCTTCCTCATTAATGGCACCACCAGCTTCCCAAGAACGATTTGTGGTTTAGAGATTTCTGACTCCTTTCTGTCCAATTAGTCACCATAGTCTGACATTTCTTCCCAGAAGGACCTCGTGGATACATCTCTTCCTCTCCATTGCCTCAGACACCATTCTGATCCAGATGCTCGTGACCTCACTGCAGGATTTCTTCAAACACTGCCTTACTGGTCCTCCCCTCCAATCCATCCATTCTGCATCTGCTGCTGATGCCAACTTCATTTTCTGAAATAGTGTTTTCTTTTTGTTACTTCTCCACTTAAGCAATGGTTCTTTATTGCTTTATGTTCACTCAAGGCCCCACCTACCTATCCAGACTTATCTTCTACTACTCCTCCATTCTAGTTAGACCAATCTTCCCACTGACTCTCACACAGACTCTTTCTTACCTCCTTTTATTTGTTCATACATATCCTTTCATTTATACTTTCCTTCCCTATCTTTTTGGACATGCATAGGTTACAGATGGAGAACTGGAAGGGCCCTTTCCAATTCTTACATCTCATCCCAGGCTCAACCTAAGACTTACCTCCTGCAAGAAGGTTTCCATGACTAGCTTCTTATTTTGAATTCACTCAGTATTTAGTAAATGATTCCACACTACTATATGCTAATGTTACTACTACTAATAGCTAACATTTATATAGTGCTTACTATGTGTCAGCCACTGTGCTAAGAACTTTACAATTATTGTGTCATTTGAAATGAGGATCATTTGATCCTCACAACAACCCTGGGAGGTAGGTACTATTATTACTATCCCAATTTTATAGATGAGCAAACTGAGGCAAACAGAGGTTAAGTGACTTACCCAGGGTCACACAGCTAGGAAGTATCTGAAGCTAGATTTGAACTCAAGTCTTTGTGACTGCAGACCTAGGGCTCTATTCACTGCCCCACCTAGCTGCCTTGTAGTTAGTAGACTTCAGTTTTTGAATCTAGCCTAAGACACTGTGTGACCTTGGTCAAGTCACTTAAACTCTCTACTTCAGTTTCCATAATTGTAAAATCAGGACAATAATAACACCTACCTCCCATGGTTGTTGTTAGGATCAAATGAGATAATATTTGTAAAGAGCTTAGCACAGTGCCTGGCACACAGCAGGTACTTAATAAATCCTTGTTTTTTCTTTCTCAGGCTAAGAATTCTTGGACTAGGTAAAATTTGGATAGAGTCAAAAGGCCGCACTTAAGGATCTAGAAGGCCACTTGTGGCCTCAAGGCCGCAGGTTCTCTGCCTCTGGACTAGATGATCCCTAAGGTCCAGCTCTAAATCTATGATTCTAGGATCCATAGACAAGTCTGAAGATGTCGATGTTGTAGGGCTTAGGAAGTCCTGAAAAAAAAAACCAAAACCTCAGCATCTTTTTAGGATATGAATCCTCTCTGGGACTGAAACCTCTGCTCCAGAGGAAAAGTTAACCCTATGCAAATTTTAGGTCCATCTTCAGGTACCAAGGTATAAAAGGGGGTAGGGGTATGGGAAGGGAGAAGATATTTTCCATCACTTAGTAGGGTTAGCCCTACAAGTCCAGTCCTATAGATTTAGGACATTTCTTTCCTAAACTAAATCTGGCAGTTCTGGTGATGGTGACCTGACATCCCACTACCCCTCCCCCCAGCCAGTACCAGAGACAGGAAGACTCCCTAATCCCTCAATTTGTTTATGGGTTTGGGTTCTGCAGGGCCCAGCAGGCCCAGATTTAGAAACTGGGAATGTGCTGCCTTTAGGCCAAAGCAAAGAAACTCCACCCTGGGTCTATCTGTATTTACTGCTCCAGGGGTCAAAATCCAGCCCAGCCAAAGCAGCTAAAACTGACTGTGTGTATGGGTGGAGTGGGCTCTAGCTCCAGCACTTGACCTTGCCCTGGAGGCCAAGGAACAAAGTGTCTCAGGCTCTTCCTTCATCTTTTCCCCTAATAACCTCATTGCTGATTGCTGTGGCTGTCCATCATACCCTTATTTTTTTTTTTTTATACAATTGGGGTTAAGTGACTTGCCCAGAGTCACACAGCTAGTAAGTGTCAAGTGTTTGGTCTGAGGCTGGATTTGAACTGAGGTCCTCCTGACTCCAGGGCCAGTGCTCTAGCCACTGTACCACCTAGCTGCCCTGTCATCATACCCTTATTATTGGAGGTAGCTAGTGGCTCAATGAATAAAGGGCTGGGCCTGCAGTCAGGAATACCTGAGTTCAAAACCAACTCAGATACTCACTAGCTGTGTGACCCTGGGCAAGTCACTTAACTTGTTTGCCTTCATCCACTGGAGAAGGAAATGGCAAACCACTCCAGCATCTTTGCCTAAAAAACCTCAAAAAGAGTTGAAAGAGTCAGACACAACTGAACAATGATAACACCCTTATACCAAAGGGTCCATTTACTGGGAGGAGAGGACCCGGGAGCCAGTTCCTTCCTAGGTTCCAGTCTACAGCCAACCCTAGAAAACTAAGGTTCTATTCTAGCCCTTCTCTTGTCCTTTAGGCCCAAACCCTCTTGGGGGCAAGGTGGTGGTCATGATGAACACATCACTTTCTAGGTTATTAAGACATCTCTGTGGCATGTCCCTAGGACAGAGGTTGGGGAGCTGAGAGAGAAGGGGTCTTTGTTGCTGGTCTAGTAACCAGTTTACAGCTGAGACCCACCTTTCCTTGGGAATCTTGGTTTTGAGCCCTAAGTCTGCCGTTTATCCCTGCATATCAGGACTCGGTCCTTTTAACTTGCCTTGAGGGGCATAAAAGACATCCCTGATTTCTCTAGGTTGTGGCCACATCAGCCATCCTTCTGGCACCACACCTGGATAAAAGAAAATTCTGCAGCTTGGAGGTCAGGTTCCCTTAATAACTAGGAGCCTCCCCCAGAGCAGTGCAAAAGCTGTTGCATTTGTAGTCGGAGGATAATTTTAAATCTCAGTTTTTACTTATCACCGACCTTGAGTTTACCCACATACTTCTTTATTTGTAAAATGAGGGGGTTGTACGATGATGGTCTCTAAAGTCCCTTCTAACTTTAAATCTAGGCATCTATGTGGATAGGCACATAGTTGGTAGTTGGTATTTGTTAATTGATTAAGCTAAAGTTCCTTCAAAGCCAGAGCTTAATCTTCAGGCTGAGCTGGGTGAAATTGAGTTTTTAAATGAGCAGTTTCAGGTTTGTGGGTTTAGAGATTGAAAGAATCTCAGTGGTCTTCTAGTCCAATTCTTTCATTTTGAAACTGAGGCCCAGAGAAATTAAGTGACTTGCCCAAAGTCACACAGATAGAAACAAGTAGAAGAGAGCTGGGTTCAAATCCAGGTTTTATGGCTATACTTCTGCTCCAATGTTGTATGACTCTTTTGCAGTGTCAGAGAAGGAAGGAGTATTCAGTATCCCACTCTCATAGGAATAGCTTGATTGATCAAAAGAATGTTGACCGCTTCTCTGGGTCACCCCACCCTTGTGTCATTGCTTTCTTCTACCCATAATCCACACTATGAATTTAGACATATCCTCTCTTACAGGAAACTGTAAATCTTTATCCATCTATCAGTCCATCTATCTAATTAAAAGATTTGTATTACTCTTTATTCATGCCTGGCCTTAATGGATCCATTCTGCTGTCATCTAAGCGTGGGTTCTTCCTGTCTGAATGTCAACCGAAACCATCCCTGTCCATTGGTTGCATAGCTGAAGGTACCACTACTGAGCTCCAAATGTTGCCTAGTAGACACAGAAGTATTTGTGACAGGAAAGGATAGGACAGGGTCTTGAATAATCATGATGGTTCACACTTACATAACACTTTTAAGGTTTGCAAAGCTCTTTACATTTATCTTATTTGAGCCTCACAACACTCTCATGAAGTTGGTGCTAAAGGTATTTTTATTCCCATTTTACAGATGAAGAAACTGAGGCTTAGACACCGATTTTAAATGCCTATCTTAACCCAAAGTCTAGCAAAAACAGACACAACTTCTCTGAGACCACTGGGCACTGGAAGATGGATACCATGCCTCCCTGCCCAGGAAAGAGCAGGGCAAAAAAGTAAGAAAATTTCCTTTATGGTCTGGCAAATTTGGGTTAGGAACCCAAATTGTCTCCCTTTCTAGGCAACTGATTCTGTATAGTGCCCTCTCTCTTCGTACTAGCTTTCTCTCCACTGGCCCCTGGACTACATCAGAGGGTATACAAGGTGCCCAGTTACTCTGAACTGGCATCTTTAGGGTAGAGAAGGAGCAACTTCTTGGCCCACCTGCTCACCCTTCTAACAATGAAATGAAGCTTGTAAAACCCCACCCATGGGATCTGTGTAGTAGAAAGGAAAAAGGATTGTCTCTGGTACTTATTCCCTGTGTGACTTTGAACAATCACTTCTCTTCTCTGGAACTCAGTTTCCTCATCTGTAAAACAAGAGGGTTGGATTAGATGATTTCTATGGTACCTTCCATATGTAAATTCTACGATCCCTTAACTTGACTGGTGAGCCAGTTAGAGACTGTACGGGCCTGCCCTGAGACATACGACAACAGTGTTCCCTTCCTTCTGCTGCCACCCGCCTTTCCCTACTCAACTGACCCAAAGGTCATGAAAACAGACTCATTGGTACTTGACGCTGTTTATTCTTCCACCACTATCAACTGAAAGGGGGAATAGGTGAGGGGAATCTCAGGTTGTGGAATCAGTCAGAGGCTGGGAGAAGAGGTGCCTCCAGTTGTTTGTTGATAGATGATTAAAGTAGAGGTTCCAGCTGTCGGGGTTGGGCAGGGGGTGGGGCTGTGGATCTCAGAATGTCAGAAGATCAAGATTGGGAAGGTGAAGTCTTTTCAGGACTTGGACCTGTGGGAAATGTGGTACATAGATCACTTGGACAGACAAAGGGATGGAAATATGGAGGGCCAGAGTAGAGACAGACAGACAGAGAGAAACAGAGACAGAGAATGGAGAGACAGAGAGATTGAGAGGGAGAAGAGAAGAGGAAAGGAGAGAAAAGGGCAATGGGAAAGAAGGAGACAGGAGAAGGGAAGAATGGAGGGAGAATGGGGAGAGAGCTATAAAGACACAGAATGAGGAGAGGTAGAGACAGGGACAAAAAGAGGCAGAAAAGATGGAGAGATGGAGAAAGATAGAGACACACAAAGAGAGAAGAAGACAGAAAATGAGGAGAGAGAACAAAAAGACAGAATAGGGAGAGAGAGACTATGGGAATCAGAGACATGAGGAAATGGAGAATGAGAGAGACAGAAAGAGAAGTAGAAATCAAACTAAAGAGAGACAGAGACAGAGAATGGGAAGGGCTTTGAAATTGCAGAGATATTGTCACTTTGCTCCCTTCCTGCCGGGGAGTAAGGAAGCTATGTACAGTAGCTCCCATGAGAGAAGCAGGAAAAAATGGCCTTTGTACTCAACCCTGACCAGGCCGCCCCAGGAAGCTCCCTCCCTTGCATAGTTCCCGTAAATCCCTGAGTTGGCTCATACTCACACCTCGTTTACGCCTTCACATGAATGCATTTTTCTGTTTGGAGCAGAAATAAAATAGGTCAGTGGTGGCGGCGCAGGGCTGGGGTGGGGGGAGGGAGGATAGAAGTGGGGACTCACAAAGACGTCTCCCTTCTGCCCTTTGCCCTATCTGACCTAGAATGTGGGTGGAAAGGGAAAAGGAAAGGGGAGGAAGGAGAAGCTTTCTATAAGGGCAGGAACATAGGTGTTAAAAAGGGCTTTAAACTATATCTTGCAGCAGTCCTTCAGCCTTTGGTGCAGGGGGAAGGAGTCCTAGAGGGAATAGCAGCTTATCCTAGCTAATAACCTTTCTCTTTCTCTTTGCCCTTCTACTATGCCCCCCTTTAAAAATCTTTCTTTCTCTCCTTTCTTTCCTTCTTTCCTTTTTTTCTAATTTTAATTTTTTTTTTCCTTACCAACTTTTGCTGGGAAGAGAATGTTGTTATCAGTGAGTCCCAAAGACTTGACTAGGTTTTTGAAGTCTTCTTTCAGGTCGGGTCTCAGCTCCTCACTTCTCCCTACAGTCAGGAATGAAACCAAGTTTTGGTCCCTGAGCCTTCATCCTAGGGATTTATTTTCTGTACCTGTCCCTCTCTTCTGACACACATTCCAGAGAGTGCCGTTACCTGGAGTTCTGGCTAAGCCCTGACTGGATAACCCCGATGAAATATTCCCAGGGAAGAAAGCAGAGCTCTCAGTGCCAGGGGAGAAGAGCCAGATCTAGGGGTTCTAGGGTGCCAGAGAACTCTAGTGACCAGAAATTTGGGGCTAGCACTCAGGGTTGGGGCTGTGGGGAGAGGGGCAGCTTGGTGATATGAAAAATTCCTGAGGTTGGAAGAGACTTAGAGATCCCCTTAGTGCAACCCTTACCTGAAAAAGGAACCCCTTCTTATAGATATCTGGAACAAGTAGGGATCCAGCCCTTGGAATATCTCCAGTGACTTGATGCTTACCAAGTCAGTCCCCTGAATTTTTGGCCATCTCTAACTGATAGGAAAGACCCCTTTAGAATAAGCTGAAAAATTTGTTATCCTGTTTACACTTTGGGTGCCCTCTGGTGCTGAATGGAGCAAATCTAATCTCTCTTACACATGAAAACTCTGCAGGTATTTGAAGATAATGATCACCGTCCTCTCTCATTCTTCTCTATTCCAGGATAAACAATCTTATCACATGGTTTGGAGTCCCCTGACCTGCCCCTCATCAGCATCCTGGTTGACCTCCTTTCCATGTAAATGGAACATAACATTGCAGAAGTGGTCTGATCAGTGCAGGGCACCATGGGACTATTACCTCCCTTGTTCTGCACACAATACTTCCATTAATGCAGCCTAAGATTTGGATTAACATTTTTGGCTGCATATATCACCCTGTTAGCTCATAGGGAGTTTGCCATCAACTAAAAACTGCAAGATCTTTTTCACACAAACTGTTTGTTGTCACCCATGTTTATGGCTGACACTTATCCCTTACATTTCATCTCATGTTTGGCTTATCCTTCTCTTCTTCTAAGACCTTTTTGCATCATCGCTCTGTGCTAAGGATGAGGGCTCAGCGGCTAGGGCTCAGGAATTTATTCATCTTTTGCTTCCATCACCCAGCCAGGAGTCCTTTTGGAATTTAGGCAGGAGGCCCTGGGATTCCAACCACAGGGGAAATGGAGAGACTGAGTACTCACCGTACAAAGTCATCTTGAAATAGTCAGTGTTATCCACACTCTTCTTAAAGTATACCATAGCGAACTCATTATAGTTGGTTCTCATCACTTTCACTGTATAATCCTGCAATCCATAGCCTACCCATAGGAGTGGGATGTGGGGTAGGAGAAAGAAATGAAAAAGTTAGAAACTTCTCACTCAAAGAAAGTCTACCGTGTCCTGCAAAAAGAGAAACTGGCCCTTCGATCTACCCCCCCTTCCAAGAGGTCAGGATGTGATGCTGGAGATATCATCCCTCCCCTTGCTTGCTGACATGGCACCTCATCACCGTGTCTGGCCAGTCCACATCCCATTTTTGAAGGTTCCCAATGCCTGTCCTTTGGACCCTCCCACTTGAGAAGCCCCCACTTGACTCAGGGGAACCCATGCTCACCTTCAATGTTGGCCAAGGTGAACTGACCCGGCTGACCCTTCGGAACAAAACTCCTCACAAATTTGTCACATCGATTACCCCTGAGAGGAAAGGATGGATGAATGAATGAGTAATAGTGCCACATATAACCTGGGTCTCCAGGTCCTGGACCTACCACTTGTACCTGTTCTCAGAACCTCCTCCACCCATATCTTGGATCACATATAGGGGACCACCTGCACCTGGGCCCTGGGGTGGGAAAAATGGATCCTGGAGCTGGAAGAAGCTTTGGCCCCTCTGCTGGGCTCCTTTGTGACCCCTACCCTGCCTCTGCCCTCCTGCCCCTCTGAACTCTGAAACTTCTCAGGTCCCTTTGAGAAAAGAACAGGTAGTTGGGCTAGTTTTCTCCCTAGGGTTCTGGGGTTCCATCCAAGAAAAACTCCCCAGAGGGAAGTCTAAAGGCTTTTAAGTTTCCCTATTTTAATCCCAGAACCATAACTTTCCTTAATAAATCCCATGCTACCTAAAAGACATGTCTTGATCCTTCCTCCTAAGACTTTATAAGAAGGGGTACAAGTTTCTCACCCTGAAAACTGTTTCCTCAACATAAATGCCCCCTTCCTGTTTGAGGAAACTTCGATAGCCCACAAGAGCAAATAACCTTTTAATGTGGATGGAAAATATTATTGACTTGTGTGTAAAGTATTTTTGTCATTGTGAAACTGTCAGATTGAGATTCAGAAAAACACCCCCAGGGGCACCTGAAATGCCTCTTGTTTCTCCCTTCCCCCATACCTTCAAGCTCTTTTCCTCCATTGAAACTTCTCTGTTTTAGTCTCATCCTAATCTGCTTCTTTCCTTTACCTTGTATATCCCCTCAACACTTATGAAATGAGATTCTCCATCTTCTCTCTCTTCAAAATGTTAAGGACAGTGGGGGGGACCGATTACAAAGCTGTAGCTTGCCAACATCCATTGCCATGCCCCCGTCTTACCTGAGCAAGGTGGAGGTGACCCTATAGCTATTGTCTTCTTGTAGTCTGTAGGTTGTGGTATACATCTTATATTGTTCCTGTTCTGCCCTGGTGAAGGCATTCCCTGCCAGGCCAACAACGTACCATGTCCCTTCAAACTGTAGGAAGGATTGATGATTGGGTATTAGTGGGTGGGAGGGCACAGGATGGAATGGAGACAGAGTACTTAGCCTTCATCCCTCCATAATCTTGGACTTGACTACCCTTCTCTTTCCCTCCTTGACCTTAGAACCAGGAAAATGTCGAAGGGGGAACATAGCTTAGCCCTGAGAATTCTCTATGTCCTTTCTCCATGTCTGGAATGCTCTTCCTTCCCAGGTCCACCTGTTGGTTTCCCTGGCTTTCTTCAAGGCTAAATCACTTCTATAGGCCTTTCTACTCCCCCCCCCACCTTTGTGATTACCTTTCATCTACTTGTCATATCTCTTATATATAACTAGTTATTTACATGTTATAAATTAGAACATGAGCTCCTTGAGAGGAGGGACTATTTTTAACTTTTTTTGGATGTCCCAAGAGTAGGATAGTGGTTGTTTAATATAGATTATCATATGGGTGTCACTCTATAAGAGATCTAGGAGAGTTCCTCAGGACAGGGTTTCTAGGAGAGGTGACACCCTTGGTGATTTGACTAGGCAGGTAAGTAATGGCCTCAGATACCTACTAGCTGTGTGACCCTGGGCAAGTCACTTAACCCTGTTTACCTCAGTTTCCTCATCTGTAAAGTAAGCTGGAGAAGGAAATAGCAAACCACTCCAGTATCTTTGCCAAGAAAACCCCAAATGGAGTCACAAAGAGTTGAACATGACTGGAAAACAACTGAATAGCAGCAACAAATAATTAATGAACTCCTGTGAAGACAGAATCAGTAGCTGGATAGTAGTTTTCTCTTCTAAATTACCTTAGTACTTTCCTTGCATGAAACAACTAGGTGGTGAAGTGGATCGAGTGATGGGCCTGGAGTCAGGAAGACCTGAATTCAAATCTGCCTTCAGATACTGACTAGCTGTGACCCTGGGCAAGTCATTTAATCTCTGTCTGCCTCAGTTTCTTCAACTCTAAAATGGGGATGATAACAATACCATCACAGAATTGTTGTAAGAATCAAATGAGATAATATTTGTAAAAAGCACTTAGCACAGTGCCTGGCATCTAGTAGGCACTATATAAATGCTTATTCCCTTTCCCCCCCTTGTCCTTTTATTATCCTTTTTAATGTATTCTACCTGCTATTGTGACTCTTTCTATGCTTCTCTTATCCGTCTGTCTAGACATGGACTCATTGAGGGCAATACAAAACAACAAACATTGATCTGACACATTCTATGTGCTGAGCACTGGGCGAGGTGCTGGGAAAATATAAAGGTTAGATGAGAAAGGGTCCCCACCCTGGGGATGACACCATCCTAGATAACTATGAATCATAACATTATATGATAAGTGCATTAGAGAATTATAAACCAAAGTGCTCTATGAGTTCTAGGGGACAGGGTTGGGGATGATCATTGCCATCTCTGGAGATCAAGGAAGGTTCCCTGGTGGGTGTGGCATTGGAGTTAGGCTTTAGATGAGGGATAGGAATTCAGCAGATGAAAAGAAAAAGGATTAGGATTAGGAAATAGACTGAGCAAACATATGTAAATATATTACATATGTAAACATATGTAAAAACAAGTGTAGAAAATTACAGTGTAGAAAATTGCCCATTTTTGCTGGAATATTGAATATTTGGACAGGAATCCTAATAATAATAATAATAATAATAATAATAATAGTGATAGGGACTGGACCTGTATTTTCATTAATATAAGGGGCTCCTGGATGAAGACACTCATTTGAAGGGTGGTACCTTCTCTACAACTTAGAGCCTTAGTGAGTTACTGAGTGCCAAGGGATTGAGTGGACTTGCCCAGGGTCACACAGCCAGTATGGATCAGAGGCGAGATTCGAACTCAGATCTTTGTGGCTCTGAGGACAGCTATCTACCCATTAGGCCACACTGCCTCCCAGTGCTGCTGCTGCTGTTTCTGGTAACAAAAATAATAACAACATTCTATGACAGTGTTTTAAGGTTTGCAAAGTATACTTCTCTTGATCCTCAGAACAACCCTGTGAATTAGGTAATACAAGAATTATGAGAAATAAAATTGGGAAAGTAGGATGGTGTTGGGTTGTAGAGAGCCTTGGATGCCCGATTGAGGAACTCAGACTTCACCTGGTAGATAATAGGGAGCCACTGAAGGTTTGGGGGACAGGGACCAGTACTTTATCTCCCACAGAGCTCTAAGCATAGGACGTCGCACAAGTCATTGCTTGGGAATGTTGACTAGAATTACCTACTGGTATTTCATGCCTAGGGTTCTGCCCAATTTCATTCATTCAGTAAATATTTATGGCTGAGTCTAACATTCTAGGTATCACAAAAAAGGAGTTCTCAGAAATGGGGAGGTCTAAGACCAAGGGCTCCCCAAAGTCTCTGAATGTTTCTCCTATCACAGCAGAGATTCTATGGCTATGGGAGCTCTCCCTCATCAGACTAGAAGCTTCCTGAAAGTAGAGACACTCTCTCTACTGTTAGAGACAATATTAAGACTAGAAACCAGATGTTCTAGCTCAGAGGTCATTGCCTTCTGCTATGCGGGTGTCCATCTCCTTTCCTCTCTCTCTGCTCTCCTACCCCCTTCATAAGCCCTTCCCAGGAATCTGACATTCCTTGCTTCTGACTCACTTCAGATTCCATTACAGGGCTCTACTCACCTCCTTTGGTAGGAAGTCAGCCTGCAGAGGGACTCTGGACAGGTCTGGGGCAGGAATCTGGGGCCTGGGCTGGGCCTGGACCTGCAGTATTCCAAGCAGGGCAAGCCCCATCCAGAAGAGGCTCACAGCCATGCTTTTTCGAGGTGGATTGGACTGATGGTGGGCAGGTGATGGGGGACGAGCTCAACAAGGAAGGAAGGCAGGATTGGAGTAAGAGAACTGGTCTGAGGACCCCTATATATGGGCCCAATTTGGCATCCAACCATCCCAGGGAGGATGTTGATTAATTCTTTGCCAAATTCAGGAAGGGTTGGGCAATCTTGGAGACTTCATACAGGAAGACTGGGCAATACTTTGCCCCATTTCTCCAGTCAGGAGTTACGCAAGATGGAGAGGGAAAGGGGGAGGACTTGGGCAGGTAGGGGTTGGGGAGTAGGAAAAAGGCTGTAGAGGGAGATAGGACAACACCCCGCTGCTCTGCCCCTCCACAATTCTTCCCAGACCAGCCCTTCCCCAGCTTCTTCTCCTTCCCTCACCCTACACCAAATCCAGGCTGCTGGGTACTTAAAGATCACATTCTGTCAGGGACAAGGGGGCCTCACAGAACAGAAACTCAACTGAACAGAGAGGTCTGTTCAGAGCAGAGCAGGTAGAGCCAGAAGGAGGAAAGAAAGGACTTGGTATTCATGGCAGGGTCTGTCCAGCTGACAGCACACCTCAGGGTAAGATGAGAGAACTCATATCCTCTCATTCCCAGATGCACAACACAGCTGGGCCACAAATGTTCCCCTTTCCAGGGCCAAGCAGGGAGCGTGACAAGTAGAGGTTCATCAGTGGGGGCTTAAGGCAAAGCTACCATCTGGGGTCTAGAGAGACTTTCCTCCTATTCCCTTTTCCTGTTAAGGAAGGGCCCCAGAGGAAGGATTCAGTGTCAGAAGGAAGAGGGATGGAAAGGCAGTGAGAACTTTAGGTGCCAACAAAGAGGTCAAAAAGGGAGGGACCCCTTCTAATTGAGACCTGGACAGTACCTCTCCCTCCTTCTTTTTCCCTATTCAGACTGTGAGTCCAACCAAGCACAAGCAGATAGATGGATTTGTGGCCAGATTCTAGTTAAGCAGAGAAGGGGGTGGGGCAGAGGGAACAATGAGAAGGTTCTGGGGTAGGGAGAGAGGGGAGGCAGCAGGTAGCCATGTGATGGGGCCATTCTTCAGTAAATACAATGAGGAAGCAGTTTCAGCTGGATATTCACAAAACCTTGGGATGGGGGATGGGGAGTCTGTGAAGAGAAGCATCCAGGCGCCCCCTCCCCTTCCCAAATCCCTAGCTCTTTCCTCCTTGCATGAAACCACTCTTATAGCAAATTCCAATAAAAGGTGCTTCCAGCACCAAACAGTGTATTTGATATAGTGGGTGCTCCATATTAAATGAAATAAGGAATGTAAAAGTACTTTTTTTGTTCATTTGTTTTTTGGTGAGGCAATCGGGGTTGGGTGACTTGCTCAAGGTCACACAGCTAGTACCAGTCAAGTGTCTGAGGCTGGATTTGAACTCAGGTCCTCCTGACTCCAAGGCTGGAGCTCTATCCACTGTGCCACCTAGCTGCCCCTAAAAGTACTTTTTAATAATAATAACTTACAATTAGATTCAATTCCATTTTTAAAAACATAAGTACCTACTATGTGCAAGGCACTGGGGATACAAATACAAAAAGGAAACATCTCCTGCCCTCAAGGAACTTACATTCTATTGAGGGGACTTATTTTCTACTGTGGCCCATATAATTAGTAGTAAGATGAGTAAATACAAAGCAATTTCAAGAGGAAGAGAACGTTAATGTTAAGGGGATTGATGGAAGGAAAGAAACAAGCATTTATTAAGTACCTACTATATTTCATGCATTGTGCTTAACACTTTACAATTATTATCTCACTTGATCCTCACAATAACCCTGGGAGGTAGGTTTTTTTTTTGGAGTCAATTGGAATTAAGTGACTTGCCTAGGGTCATACAGCTAGTAAGTGTCTGAGATTGGATTTGAACTCAGGTCCACCTGACTCCAGGGCTGGTACTCTAGCAACTGTACCACCTAGCTGTCCCAGTATGTACCATTATAATCCCCATTTCCTCAGTTGAGGAAACTGAGGCAGAGAGAGGTTTAGTGCCTTGCTTTCAGTCACATAGCTAGTAAGTATCTGAAGGCTGGATTTGAACTCAGGTCTTCCTGGACTCTAGGTCCAGCCTTTTATCCACTATGCCACCTAGCTACCTCTATGGAATGGGGGGCGGTGTTTGAAGGGGGAGGGAGGAAAGGATCAGCTTGATGAGATCACAGGACTTTTGGTTGGAATATGGCACATGAGGATCACTTCTGCATGGAGGGAAGACCATATATATGCCTTACTAACAAGATATAGGGAATTCCTCCAGTTGGTCACTAGTGACTAGAGGCTATTCCCAATATGATTGGGTACTGAAGGTCAAGAGGATAGACTTGAATAAAGAATCACCTCTTGCTTTGTGGTCCACTATCTTTTTCTTCCTTGGAATTATAGATCAGAGCCTAGCAAAATGGATCTGGGTTCTGAGGGGCAAGGAGGGGATTTCTCTCTCTTCCCCTCCACCCCCCAGAAATATTGTCATTGTTCAGTTGTTTCAGTCCTGTCCAACTTCCCATGACCCCATTTGGGGTTTTCTTGGCAAAGAAAACTGAAGTAGTTTGCCATTTCCTTCTCCAGTTCATTTTACAGATGAGGACACTGAGGCAAATAAGGTTAAGTGACTTGCCCAGGGTCACATTGATAGTAAGTGTCTGAGGCCAGATTTGAACTCATGAAGATGAGTCTTCCTCACTCCAGGCCTGGTACTCCAGCCACTGCGTCACCTACCTGCCCAGAAGTAGTCAGGGACTATTTACAGGAGTGCATGGATGCTCAGGGTAGTGACCTGAGGTTCCTAGACCTCAAATTCCTGGCACCTTCTGCCTGATTGTTTCCTTTTCTGAATACAGGTCAGAGACTAGAGTTCCTGTCTCAATATAGTGGGTGCTTCATACTAAAGTTTCCCTTGCCCAAGCATCCAGGGAACTGATAGACTTCCTACTGAAGTTGATAGCAGAGACAGATAGGTGCTTTGCATATGGTCTGAGAGGAGTTATCCTGGAGTGGATTTTCTCAGCCTTGGAGGTAACTTCCTGGTTGATTTCAAGGTTGGGCATTGGTCTTTGAGAGATTTTCTCAGTAACATGCTTCTTGGAGAAGGAAAAGGATGGCCACTGTGGATCTTAGAGCTGGAGAACTGCATGAAGAAGGTTTGAATTTTGGGGCAGATCCGGACCTAGCCAACTGTTCTCATATTCTCAACTGGTGAACATTTATTAAGTGTCTACTGTACGCTCAGCACTGGCCTAAGCTATTGCCAGGAGTTGCTCTATCCATGCAGGTCCTGTGTGTAAAGGAATGGTTTTTTTTTAGCAACTCCAAAAATGTATTTACCTTCTGGAGGATTCTAATGGGCTGATCAAATACTTTTCTATGCAGGAGATGAGATATAAATTATGACAAACAGTGAGAAAGTGTGAATGACAAAGAGAGTGAATGAAGGAAAGCAGACTTCACAAAGCACTTTCCTCACAACCACTCTGTAAGGTAGATAGTAGGAATATGATTATACCTGTTACAAATGAGGAAACTAATTCTCAGAGAGGAAAAGTGAATTGCCAAGAGTCACACAGGTACTCAGAGGCCAGAACAGAGCAGAGCTGGTATTCAGTTTTAAGCCATTATTATAATCATAAATGTTTGTTGGGTGCATAAATACACAATGATTCAGCAGAAATAAAGAGTATGTTTGGCATAATCAGGCAGGGGATTAGGAACAAAATAGAAATCTTTATGGAAAGGCACGTGGTATATAATGGAAAGATTAGTTGGCAGAAAGTCTGTGGACCTAGGAAATCCTGCATGGCCTTTGGCAAGTCACTCAACTTCTCTAGGCTTTAGTTTTCTCATATTTATGTAGCAAGTGTCTGGACTTACTCTCCTAACTTACGCATGAATGTATAGGTTAGGTTCATGAGTAAAGCTAGGAACACCTCTGAGGGACTGGAGTATATATTTCTAATGTTATTACTTTGAGCTCCCATTCCACTGTGTTCTCACCAATATTAATGAAGGTGATTTGCACTCTGGTTTCATTTAACCAATTAATACAAATTACTTTTAACAAGGGGCGGCTAGGAGGCACAGTGGATAGAGCACCTGCCCTGGAGTCAGGAGGACTCAAATCTGGCCTCAGACACTTGACACTGTGTGACCCTGGGCAAGTCACTTAACCAATTGCCTCACCAAAAAAAAAAAAAAATTAGCTTTAACAAAGGGGTATTTACTGAGAAGATATAGGAAGAAGGAACATTTCCTCTCAATACTTAGGGGGTGCATTCTTCTCTGTATCACTTGGCCCCAGGGAGAGTTGGCTTGATCTTAAAGCATTTGCTACATGGCATCCATGTGACCCAAGTTCACTTCTAAATGCAGTAGAGAGGAGAAATACTTTTTTTTTTTTAAGTGAGGCAATCGGGGTTAAGTGACTTGTCCAAAGTCACACAGCTAATACGTGTCAAGTGTTTGGTCTGAGGCCAGATTTGAACTCAGGTCCTCCTGACTTCAGGGCTGGTTCTCTGTCCACTGCGCCACCTAGCTGCCCCAGAGATATACTTAATATGCAGAATGAGACACACTTTTGGACATGGTCAGTGTGCAAATTTTACCGTTAGTATTTGTTACAAAAATCCCTCCCTTCCTTCCTTCTTTCCTTTTTTTCTTTCTTTTTCTTTCCTCCTTCCTTTCTTTTTCTTTCTTTCTTCCTTTCTTTCTTTTTCTTTCTTCCTTTCTTCCCTTCCTATTTTCTTTCTTTTTTCTTTCTCTTTTTCTATTTCTTTTTTTAAGTGGGTGGGAGGAATTAGGAAGGAGAGAAAAAAGTGCCTGTTAATTAAAAAAAAAATTTTAAAGACTATCAGTGTGAGGGGTTTCAAACTTCCCACCTCAATTAATCAATATAAGGGCATCACTACGTTTTTTAAAGGGTGCAAACAATATTATTCATACCCTCTGATCTCTTTATGAGGTACAAACCTCTTTGATTCATCAAGAGTGAAAAATCATGATTGGCTGGACAAGTGAGCTAACCATGACTCTGGGGGTTTAAATACATGGAAGAATTTAATCAG